GGGACAAAATCATTGAAATGTACAGATCCCATGTATCAAATCCAGAAATACATATTTAAAAATTAGGTCTGGGAGAGGGTGTACAGCAGAGATGATGAATCCTATGTACAAGATGTGATTAAAAAAACCCCTATGGTAAATGTTAAAATTCTTTTAAAAATTCATTACAGTAAAAGATACATCACCTTTAATTCCCCTCAGAACACTCCTCACTTCAAACGCTCATCCCATCGTCCTCGCCACGTTCTAAAGCAGTTCTAGGAGTCCTCTTTCATGAGTATTTTCAGCTGTGGCTGCCTCAATGTCCTGAATGGATTGACAACAGTTGCCTTTCATGGTCATCTTGACTTTGGGGAGGAGCCAGAGCCACACAGTGGCAGATCCAGGGAATAAGGTGCAGGAGGACAGACCGCATATATGTGCAAGCCTGCTGTCCCTTGGGTGGCCCTCAGCAGCAGCATTCCCTGATCACACGTCATAGAAACCTACACAAAAAAGCACTTCTAGACTTCTTTAGAAAGTGCAAGAATGGTGGGATAAATGCAATCAAAGGGGGAGTGTTTTGAGGCGGATTTAGGGCAACATGTCTTTTATGGTAATACATTTTTAAACATTTACTGTATATTCTGATCAGCCCTTGCAGGAATGTGCTGAATCATTGTTGCGAATTTGGTTTACATTTTCCAGGATCCTGTTCTCTTTTTGGTTCAGGGTTAGAATTGGTCAAAAGATGAGCTTGAGTAAAAATCTGGGTTTCGGAGTGGGATATTCTATCATTTTGGCATCCTGCTCTAATAGTGGTACCTCAGTGAAACACACATCAAAGCAGCAAGTATCACATCCCAGCATTTTGTAATTTGTAGCCCAGGATGGCTTTGAGCTTGCAATGATCCTCCTTCAGCCTCCCAAATGCTGGGATTATAGGTGTGTGCCATTGCACCCAGCCAAGAAATAGATTTTACAGCTATTTAAAGACAAGAACAGTGCAGCCAGGGCTGACAGAGCCAGCACCCCATTCCACCCTCACCCCTTGCACTCATGGGCCTGTTCTAGTGGAAAGACCATCCTTGATACCATGGATATAATGGCAGGATTCTACCAGCGCTGCTCCAGAAGGCTGGCTGCCTGTGTGTGCTAGATTATGTCATCTCCTCCTACGTGACCACCTTCTCACATTGTTCTCTTTCATATCCAGACCTCGCCTAGGTGACATGAGTGGCTCAGCCATAGCTATTAGGCATCTAGAAGTGTGCTTTTTAGCTTTCTAATCTTTGAAGTTCTCGATATCCTCCAGCCAGGAATATCCTCCTGCAGAACACCCCTGGGCTTGCACACTTTGGGTTTCTTACCAGAGCAGTGAGGGAAAGCATACAGCATGAGGGCCCATGGGTGGCTCAGTGAGAGGTTTTTAGGATCAACTATATGGTTTGAGCTTTTGCTGGTGATTTTCAGAGTCAAAGGCAGTGGTGGCAGACCTATGGCACATGTGCTGCAGGGGGCGGTCTGTTATTGAAAGCGCTGAACGGTTCCCCATCACTGTAAAGGAACAGGTTTATTCTAGATCCGATGTTATCAGAAAACAGACAGTTCTACGACTAGACAAACTAGAGTGAGGAAAAATGAAAAGGTGGGTACTGTAAATGGTAAACAACTAACAGTCACTCTTTTTTAACAACGAATGTCTGGTATGTGTAGATGGCACAGAGACCATATTTTTGTCTCCACTCTGACAAAAATTATGGCATGGACTTGCTTTGTCTCTTTTTATCATGGTCTCAGAGTAAGCTTGTCTGAGGTTGGTATTCTGTGACCTGGTTTATGTCTAACAAGAACTGTGTACCCAGGGTGAGAGCCGGCCGGCTTCTGAGTGTTGAGGTTGCTCTTTTCAAGCACAGTTAGAAGAGACTTGTTGAGTAAGCTAGTGCATCATATCATCACAGGTGTCATCACACACTGACGCTCATTCTCCTGTCTCCTCCTGAAGTCGGGTGTAGACAGTTTTGGAAAGTTTAGTTAAAGCACTAAAGCAAAATGAATTACAGAAAAACCTTTGGAAAGGAAGAAATGAATTATTACTTGCAGTTAATTGTTTGTTAAGTTACCCAAGAAAGCCAACAGACGAATTAGTAAGAGGAAGATTTCATAAGTTATAAATCAGTTATAAAGTCAGTGTGCAAAAATTTGATTATCTTAGTTACTTTTTACTTGTCGGTGAGACAAAATACCTGATGCCCAAAGTTGGGAAGGGGAAGGTTTATTTCTTACAGTTTTTGGAGGTTTCAGTCCATACTCAGTTGGCTCCAAGGCAGTGTGGCATGGCTGGGCTGCAGTTTATGGTGGCTGCAAACAGCAAGGCGGAAACCAGCAAGACAGAGAGAGACACACCTTCTTCCTGCCATTCCATCACATCCTGACTCCACCCCTGTGTGGGTGTAGCACTGACACCATCCACCTAAACTCTAGACAATGAACCAATCACAAATGCATAATGCAAACGCATGAGGCCTGCCACAGACATAAACCATGACATTATCCTTCAAAACCAGCACCAAAAACCACTTTTTTGAAAGCTAGGGATTGAACACAGGGCCTTTGCGCTGAGCTACACCCCCTGCCCTTTATTTTTTATTTTCAGACAGGGTCTCACTAAGTTGCTAAATTGCTAAGTTGCCCACGCTAAGCTCAGACCAGCAATCCTTGTGCCTCTGCCTTCTGGCCTGCTGGGAATACAGGTACGTGCAACAGTGCATGGGAAAAAAACCACAATTTTTAAAAAGGGCATTGAAAATAGAGACTGAAATATCTAGAAATTAGCCTATAAGGATCCATCTAGATTAAAATTGTAAAACTTCACTGAGGGACCTGCAGGAAAATTTGAATAATGAGGTACATACCACAGTGTTGGATGGTGTATCTCAGTCAATCACTTCTAATAAAAAATGTCAAAATATTCTTTTAACTAGATGATGTAATTCTAGTCACCTGGGAAGCTTAATATAAAAGGATGAAAAAGTTTTGGAAGATTGAGGGGTGACTTACATCGCTAGAGAGAGAGAGAGGGAGGGAGACAGGAGAGGTATGCAAGCAGCATGAATTTTGTATGAGAATAAAAATAACCCCCAACAGGTTTAAGTCTGCACATTTGGTATAGGCTTAAGGTGGAATTTGAATATATTTACACTTCCACTTAGGGTACAGAAGCTGCAAAGCACATCACTCCCAGCCTAACAATGAGGACATGACAAGTGAGTGACAAATTCATTGCTGTTGTTGTACCTGGAGACCGGGAGATCACGAGAAGGCCAAGTCCCCTTCCCCAGAGGGGCTGATGCTACCCCAGCAGGAGCGGCAGCTGCAGCTGCGTGGAGAAGCTCCGTGGAAACCTGCGTGTGGGCGAGTGTGCAAGCCTGCACTAGCTCAGGGAGCAGGGGAATTTGTGCTCTTTCCCCAGCGTTTGCAGAGTGCACTCGTGAGAAAGCTGGAGGCTGAGTGGACCCTGGCTTCCTCCAGCCCACCTCTGCAGGCAGCGGGTGCAGTCTTGGAACCCAGGGCTGCACGGGGTGCAGAATGCCCTGCACTTTGCTGGTGCTTCTCTTCTAACTGTGAAAGGCTGAGGCAGGGAGGGCTGGAGCTGCAGCTCGCCCTCCTACCCAGCTCAAGGGAGATGCACAAAGGCTTGCCCTCTTTCCCCAAAACTTGTCTCCTGCCCAATTAATTCCCTGGACAGCTTTCCTTAGATAATAGACTGAAGTCTCACACAGAGCCTGTAGCTTCCCAGAGAAGAGAGTAAGGATGCAAAACTCAGTACATGCATGAAAAAGTAAAATTTAGCACCTTTTTATGATTAAAAAAAGAAGTCTTAAACTATAATTTAGTTACACCCAGCATTTCATCTAACATTGAAAAATTGGATGTATAAAGTGTGGTTCATCGGTCCAGTGCAATGGGTCTCAGGCCTTACACCCAAGGAACAAACTGGATTTCAAAGGTTCTGCATTGGGGGCTCAGGTTATGTTGATATTTGGGGAAAGACAAAACTCCAGGGCCGAGGATAGAGGTGTGGTTTGCCAGGGATCCAGTCCAGCTCTGGGAATTGGGAATGCACTGTAAAAAAGACCCATGGAATTTTTGAGAATGATAGATATACTCTGCTTTGTGTCTTGGTGACGATTGTGTACATTTGTTACATTTCAGTGCTCTTACAAAGAATGAGTATTTTTGTATGTGAATTATATCTTAAACTTGACTTTTAAAATGGTTTAGAAAGAAATAATGTGCTGTACAAGGCACAGTAGCTAAATCTTAGAAGCAGGCTGTATATATCCATCAACAGATAGATAAAGAAATTATGGTATTTATATACAATGGAGTACTACCTTGCCATGCAGAAGGCTGCATGCAAGTCATTTTTAGGAAAATAGATGCATCTTGATATCATGATTTTAAGTGAAATAAATCAGACTCGTATGCTTAAAAATTGACATAAATCTCTCCAAATGAGAAACCAAAAGTATAAATAAATTAAAGGCAAAATGTAAGATGGATAATAGCAAAAAGGGAGATAGATCTTTTGCAAAAGGGACAGCGAGATGGCAGTAGGTGGGTGGTAAGAGAGAGAATAAAAACAGTTAAGATTCCTTACCTGCACATGGCAGCTCTCTTCAGTTAAGATTCCTTACCTGCACATGTCAGCTCTCTTCAGTGGATGAAGGTAGTATGTCCTAAAGATGTGTACCTAAAAATAATAAAGATTGTGCTGTTAACAATGCCCAAATCATTGGTAAACCATCTAAAAAAAAAATAGCTTGGTTTCTCCCATCATAGAAGGTAAATTCCAAATGGACTATAGATGTGAATGAAAAAAAAAACCTGTAAAAATTTAAATGTAAACAGAAAGTGTAGGTGATGAGTACATGGTGGATGAAAGCAAAAAGCCGAAGGACCAAGATGTGGAGTAGGGGAGGGGAGGGGAGAGGGAGGGAGAGAGGGGATGGGCCTGTCCACTAGCAGGGGCCACTTCTGCAGTACCCTCCTTTGTACCCTCCCATTATGTGATTCAGATGACAGATACAGGGGCATGTGTCTTAGAGGCATCCTGACATTGCAGCCTTTGTGTATGTCTCATATTTTATCACAGAAAAAGGCCACATTTGGGGTCCAAGTATAGTTTGCCGCATTTTACACACTAAGAAGCTAAGTCCATCTCTCCCATACCCCATGCCAATTTTCTGTTCTTTGTCCAATGCTCAGCCAGTCAAAGCAGCCATGTGATCTAGCACAAATTAATACACTCTGAACTTTTACAATCAAGGCCAGATTAAAACATCCTGGACAGTAGATATAAGATGTTTAATAAAAATAAATAAACTACAGGTTAAATCTCTCTGACTTGAGGAAGAGAAAGTGCTGGGGATTTAGCTCAGCGGCATAAGCACCTGCCTTGCAAGCAGACAGTCGTGAGTTTGATCCCTGGTACCGATAAAAAACGAAAAAGACCAAAAAAAAAAAAAAAAAAAAAAAAGAGATGTACCTGGGTTGCAGGACTGTGGGTGACTCTAATTTTACTTTGCATGTTTTGCTAACTTCTTGATATTTTCTAGGTGGAATACATATTACCCAGGTAATTAGAAAGAACACTAACATTTTAAAATAGACAGAAGTAGAACCCAAAATGGAAGACAGCAGCTAGCCAGGAAAAATGCGTTTGAGTTTTCACATCAAAACTTAAACCTTAAAGGCAGAGAGAAAGATCCCAGGAAAGCAGTGGGGTGAAGGCTGTCGGGTGGAGTGTGCAGAGATGTGATGGCACTAACTAGGACGCTGCAGTGGGTGAGGCTGGGTCGTAGCCGTTCCCAGATGTGCAGGTTGTCACCTGCTTCCTTACCTGGTCTTGCTCATCACAGATGTCAGGCCCCCAGACAGCTTGACCCAGGGCAGAGGACAGATGGACAGCACGGGGGGAATCTGGAGCCAAGTCCCAAGAGCAAGGAGCCGCTGTCTTCCTCATGCAGTGACTCGGACAGGGCAATGAGAGCGGACGTCTCGGGGTCTACACTTAGGCTCACTTCACTGCACCTCTGGCTTGGGTGCTTCCTTCTGATTTCCCTGCTCTGAGAGGTGCTGGCTAGTGCAAGGTGGGGGTGTGAAACACAGCGTTTCTCTTAATGATTTGTTTTCCTTTAAGCCCACCGTGCTAATGGTCTGTGTTTGGAAATTGGAAGGCTTGGGCTACATGAAAAGCACAGAAGTCTCTCTCTAAACCCTTAGCTTCATGCTGATGCCCCTCTCCGCCCTCTTCTCTAAGTTTCTACTTACACCAATCAGTGGACTGTCGCTGGCTGCTTTTGGACAGAGTTCATGCTCTCATCTTGGTGTAGAAAGACCTGCTGTTCACCCTGCATCCCAGCCCTTGCCATGCACACCAGCCACACCAAACCAGCCTGGTTCTCTGAACACATGGCAGGCTGGTTTGTGTCTTTGGACACTTAGGGTCTTGTTGATGTCACAAATCACTACCATGAACCAGCCTCTGAGGTAAATGAGTTAATTCTGTCTCATAACAAGCCTGTCCTGTGAGCTCAAGGCCAAGCCTGTGGCTCAGAGAAGTGAACTAGCTCACGGAGGGTCACACAGCCAGTAAGTGACAGAGTCAGAATTTGAATGCAGGTTTAATACCAAAGCCTACCTTACTTTTATTTTTATTAAAATGTGTCAAAATATAGATAAGATAAATTCCATCGCATTAGCCCTTGTGAAGTGGGTAATCTGTGGTGTTGAGTGCGCTTACATTGTTCTAAGCTCTGACCAGCATTCATCTCCGGAGCTTTGGGATCCTTCCCACCTCACTGAAGGAAAGGCTGTGGACCGCCCGTCTCTTGGAGGAGAAGGTGCTAAGTTTCACACTCTGTTCCTCAACTCAGATGTTTCAGACAGACGCAGAAAATACTGTTCTGCAAATGCTGCCTTCATCGTTCTTGAGACAGGCAGCCTCTTTTTGTTTATTTATGTTTTAGGTGGAGCACCAGCAATCAAACTCACCACCTTGATTTGCCAGGCAGGCGCTTATGCCACGGAGCTATGTCCTCAGCTCTTTTCATTTTGCGTTTGATAGCATGGTTATAGAAAATAGCCTTCTGCTTCCATTGTTCTAAAAAATATACAGAAGTACAAGGAAGACTGGATCTGACCCTTGCCTCAGTGCGGGGGACACCAGGAAAGCGGGGAACGGGGAGTGGGTGCTTTTGGTTCTCTATAAACCCGTAGATATCACCTGACTTTTAAAACTAACGTTTATTACTCTGGTAAAAATAAAAATCCACTCATTTTTCAAATACACTGTAATCCTAGCACTCTGGGAGGACAAGACAGGAGGCCCACAGGTCGGACCCCATCCTGGGCATCTTAGAGAGGCCCTGCCTCAAAATAAAAGGTGTAAGAGGGCTGGGGATGTCGCTCAGGGCAAAGACAAAGTACAACAACGGTCCTGGAGGTTGTAGAGAGGGTGAATGAAGCCTTTATGCCCTGCTGATGGGACTGTAAAATGGTTCAGCTACCATGTAAAACAGTATCGAAGTCCCTAAAAAAATAATTAAACACAGAATGTCACATAGCTCAGAAATCCCATTTCTGAGCACATGTCCAAAGGAAATGAAAGCAGAACTCCGACTTAATATCTGCACAACCACATTCACAGCCACACTCTCCAAAAATGACCTGAGGCAGACCATGCCGGACCCGAGAGGAGAGAAGCCGGTTCAGTTTTCCCGTGAGTCAGCAGAGGCCATGCTGGGTCTGGGATGAGCTAGTTTGAGATTCCCATAAGCTGCATAAACCAGGCGGGCCCAGGAAGAGAGAAGGAACCCCCTCTCCTAAGCAACTGGCTGGGTCGGAGGACAGGCTGAGATGATAGCAACTGAGGTACAGAAACAACTCAATGCTTGTATTGTTTGACTGACTGCAGGCCTGGGCTGCTGGTCTGGACATGTACTTGGAGGATGGCAGTGTGCATTGTGGCAACTGTGGGGATTTCCTCCTGTCTTGTTTTTGAAATCCATCATTCTCACTGTTTTGTTTTGTCCCAATTTATTGTTGTGTTTTATTCAATGCTCTGTGTTGATTGGTTTTATTTGATTTCACTATGTCTGAAGGAATGGATAGCTATTGTGAAGATAACAAGACACGTTATGGTAGTCATTGATAACCTACTGTCCTATTTTAAAGTTCTGTACCACTTGCACTGCTTTGTTTTGATTGGCTTTATTCTGTTTTATATCATTGGTTTTATTCTCTTTACAGTAAAAAAAAATGGCCTGAGCCTATCAATGGATAAATGAATAAATACAATGTGGTAGAAATATGCGATGGAATATAATACAGCTCTGAAAGGAAGAAATTCTGACATGCTACTACATGGGCGAGCCTCAAAGACATCATACTAGTCAATTTGTTTGTCTCAGTGTGTACCAGTGGGAGCCCTGGTGATCGTGTGGTGCCTGGCATTTTTAACTTTCCTCTCTTCTGGGCTGAGTCTGGCAGGTGTCTCTGCTGCAGTGTGCCCCTAATCCTTTTTGTCATTAACAGCTATCTCATGAGGGAGATACCTTCAGACCATGTAAAAGTCTTTCCTCATCTACCTTCCCCTCACTAGAGTTCTGGCACCTAGTGATATTTCCTGACGTAATTAGCACCATAATCATTGCCAAGAGGTGAGTTCCCTATGTGATCATTCCTTTTGTGTCTATTCGGGTCCTTTTTTATTGATTAACTATATCTAACAGCAAGCATCCATGGGTCTTATTTGAATGACTGTGACACACCACTCCTTTGTTTAATGCTCAAAACTTCCCAGTGTGGCCAGTCAGAGCCAGTTCAAACTGTTTCCTGTGTCCCTCTGGCTTGTCATTAGCATCGCTTGATCACCTCCTGCCTTGATGACACAGACAGATGCTCCAGGCTCGTCTTATTCTTTCCCTGAATTTGGCCATCCAGTTTGATGGATTGTTGATATATAGATTAACAGTCCAATCCATGCGGATTAAAGTTTTTTTTTTTTTTTTTTTTTTTTGTACCAGGGATTGAACTCACGACCTCACACTTGCCAGGCAGGAGCTTGTGCCAATGAGCTACATCCCTGACCTCCATGTTGATTTATAAAACACAGCTACTTCTAAATGTTTCAAATGTGCAAACAGAAGAAGTCACCTGGTTTTCCTCGTGTGCCTATCCTATTGCTTTAACAGGTGCATGTGAGATTTCACCCTGGTTTTAACCAGATTTGGTAAGCACCGATCCAAACAGAGGAGGTGTGCACTGTACAGCTGATTCAATACTAGCTGTGAGCATGAGTGACCCTGAGAGGGGACAGGAAAGGGGGCAACAGCGTCTATACTGCGGGGGTGCTGGGCTTCTTTGCTCCTCTTGGATGCTCAGGGGAAGCCAGCCTGGACACTTTGTCCCGGGAGAAGAGCTCTTGCGTATTTACCTTTAATGGTAACGGAACTAGAACCACTGTGAAAACACGCCAGATTTCACTAAATGGTGTTCAGCACCATAACTGCTAGTGGCCGAGCTCAGAATAACCCAGATTTCTGCACTGATGGGGAATTAACTATCGACTGCCAGGAAATACCTGGCATTTCATTGTAGCAGCTCTCAATAAGCATTGTAGGAGCTCTTCGGCCATGGATTTTTAAATAGTTACTAATTAAACAAAAATAGAATCTACAATAATAGTAATGATCCTTGTGGCACAGGTCAGTAGCTAAGCTCCCTTGTGAGCGCTCATTACCTGTGGGGAGATGGTTTGTGAAAGACCGTGTGTGCTGCCTTGGATACCCATGGCTTGGGGTCGCTGCTGGACAAGGTGGAGGGCTGCACCCCGAGCCCACTGCATCACCCCATGCACCCTCCATCCCTGCGGCCCATCTTGTGTTGTCTCAGAGAATCTGCTCACTGGTTGCTCTGCCCGTTTGTCTCATGGCATGTTTGATGAGTAGCCCTCTGAATCCCCTCTTAGGACGGGTGGGGCCCTGTTGCACAAGGGCCACTGAGTGTCCCTGTGCCGTGGATGTCAAGTGGCCGTGAGTGGGCAAATGGAGTAGTAGTGCCAAGTGGTCACTGAGCAGCTCCAGATGGCTGGGCGGAGGCCCATCCAGGTATCGAAGGAGCCACAGGAGGCGGCTGTCTCAGGTAAAGGCAGGTCTTCCGTTTGGGTGACCCAAGTAAGTGTGCAGTTCCTTGTTTGTTCATTCATCCAAAAGATAAACACTGAGCACCTACTATGCCCCAGGTATCGAATTCGGTGCTGGGGATAAAAATCAAGGCAGACATGGTCGTCAATCCCAAGGACCAGACCGGGGAGGGAGGAGTCTACTAACACGGAAGTAAAACTGTGTCACTGAGGCAGGTAAGCCAGTGCCGGGAGGACAGCAGAGGGACTGTGTCCACAGTGTGGCATCCCTGAGGGACACTAGGAGAAGGTGCCACTGCTGCTGAGGACTGACGGCTAAGGAGGGTTGGGCTGGGCAGCTGATGAGGGGAGACTATTCTAGGCAAAGATGTCACTACGGGCCAGGGCTCTGGCGAGCATGAAAGGCGGTCACTTGCGAAGCTGAAGGAAGTGCAGAATGCAGAGGAAGATGGAGGTGAGGGACAGTGTGGCACAGCTGAGTTCAAGGTCAGGGGGGCGGGGAGAGAAGTCCAGGTTTTGCTGTAAGTATGAGAAGCTTTGAAGCCAGGAAGTGGCAGTGCCCAGGTTCTATCCATAAAAGTGCTATCTGGTTGCTGATGGTTTTTGTTTTGTTTTGTTTTTTTGAGACAGGGTCTGGCTGTTAGTCCAGGCCTTGAACTCACTGTGAAGCCTAAGTTGGCCCCAGACTTGTGGCAATCCTCCTGCCTCAGCCTCCAGAGTGCTAGGATTCCAAGTGTACACCATCTAGAGGCTTCTGGTTGCTGATGGAAACCAGCCTGGGGTGGGGGTGGGGGGCAGGCCCTGGGGAGACGCAGAAAGAGCAGATAGGAATTCAGGTAAGAGCTGGGCACAATGTACAGCCCTGTAATCCCAGCATAGAGGGAGACTGAGGCGAGAGGATCACAAATTTGAGTCTCACATTGGTAACTTCATGAAACTTGGTCTCAAGATTGAAAAAGAAAAAAAAAAAAAAGGGTTTGGGACATGGCTCAGTGACAGGGCTCCAGCCTAGTACCACAAAGCCAAACCCAACCCAACCAAACCACAAATTCAGGCAAAAGACACAGTCACTTAGACTAAGGCGATGGTCAGCAGTGACAGGACGTGGGCTGACTGGACAGTCACTCGGGGAGTAGAATGAGCTGGGGGTGACTGAGGTCAGGAGTGATCAGGACAGGGGCCAGGATTTCTGCTTTGAGCCACTGAGTGAATAGTTATGCAATGGTTTAGGGGGAAGCAGCAGATAACTAGATACTCAGATTTTAAAATCTGTAAAATATCGTTCAGTTTACCATTTTAACCTTTTTAAAGTGTATTTCTCAGCTGCATTTGTTATACAGTCAGGATCACTATCCATCTCTTAGAACGTGATCTTTTTTTTCTGGTTATTTTATTTGTTTTTCTGTCTTATGAATGTACTTTTTATTAGCGCACAGCCGCAGTGCATCATGATTACAGTTATCACCGGCAGAGCGCATCTTCATGCCTACCCCCGCCCCCCAGACTCTGCGCCCCCTGGACACGCTAACTTCCCATCCCCTCACCCTCGGCCTCTGGCAGCCGCGGTTCTCCGTTCTATTCTTCAGCTGCTTCAGAGGCTTCCTGGGACGTGGAATCCTGGCTGGTGCCCACCGTGTGAGGGTGGGAGTGCCTGGGCTTCAGGTCCATTTTTGGTGAACAAATGCTGCTTTGCCTTTGCCTGGCCTTTTCTAACCCATGTGGTGGCCGCTGTAGAAAGTAAAAAGCAGAGTTAAATGTGAACTGCAAAGTAAAGGGGTGGGAAGCTTCAGAAAGGGGCAGCTTTTGTTACCATCTTTTGGGGAGGTACCTCAAACAGAAGTCAAATAGTTTTGATGATCTTTGGAAGGCTTTTGGTTTGTTTTTCCTTTTTTGTAATAAAAATTGGAGTTTTAAAGTGTTTTTCAATTTCTCTCCCAGCTCACTTTCATCCCCCGATTTCTTTGCTCCTAATGGAATAATATAAACTAGTGTCTGTCGTTTATTATTCTCCAAAGCTGTCGATTTACCCAGAACGGAACGCAGGCAAAGAAGTTATTAAAGTAAAACAACTTCCAATTGAGCTGCTAATAAATGCTGAAATGCACCCACATTTCGCCTATTGATTATTTCCTGCCGACAAAGGCAAACACAAGCTCGCACGCAAGCTGCCTGTGGAAATGAAAGATTTAATTAGATGCAAACCGAATGAGCTGGAAGATCTACTGTGTTTGGTCATCAAACAATTGTTATTCATAATTGCCTCTTTGAAAAAGCCTGCTTCTTGAGCCTTTTTTTCACTTAAAAAATTCCCTACAGTGCATTAAGATGACGAGCACATCGTTAATAAATTCCCCCCTGTGCATTTTACCAGCTCAAGGTTGTGGACAGGAATGAGCCCTGTCAGGCTGTAAATCAGGTGTAATAGAACATGCTGGATTTGAGAATTAGCAAGCAAGAGCCGCGAGATCATTTTCTCTCCATCTCCAAGTGCTAAACGCGGGGAAAGACGTGCTCCTGGAAGATGTGAGAAGAGGCTCATAAATTCAGAGAGTGGAATTCTCCAGAACTCACCAGCTCTGTAGGTATCTGCATTTAAAGTTTAGTGTCAGCCAAATGCACTGATACTTAGCCATGGGAGTATATTAAAAAGTTGATATTCATCCTGCCTGCAGTGTTTCGAGTGCACTGCTTTTCATGTCATGGGGAAGAAGAGGAAAATAGAATCATTGCCTGCAGCGGCCACATGTCACATAGTCTCACTGGGTTCTCCTATTTGAAGTCCTGAGAAAACTGTTAACCTCTGAAGTCCTTGGTCTGCTTAATTGTATAGTGGGGATGTGAATTGTACCCATTTCATTGGTTTGTTAAAGAGGATTGAATGAGGCAATGCAGATGAAGATGTTAGCATAATGACCGGACACAAGGTAAGCCCGAAATGAATAGTAATTCACCTCCCACATCTACAGGTCCCTGAGAGGAAACCTCATTTCTCCCATTCATTCTGTTTCCTGTAGCATCTTGACCAGAGTCTTTTTTAAAAAAAAATTTTAAAGAGGGTAAAATTAAACAGAACAAAACAGATCATAAGAAAACAATTTAAGAAACACAGATTTCAAAGCAAGACCACTGGAGATTTCACTGTCTATCACATTGTCTCTTGTTTTCTTCCAAATACTTGTCCATATCTTCATACACAGTCGATTCATACCAAACAAAATAGTTCTAAATTGATCAGAACAGGATGATAAAGGCATTTTAGGTCTTCAAGACCAGACAATAGGGGAGTCAACAGTGGCTGCCACAATGTCTCTGGTTCTCTTCAAAATAGCTGTCCATATCTTTACGTGTGTTGAAATTAAACAAAATAAAACAGACTAATATCACTCTGGACAGAGAATAATAGTATTGTTAGATTTTATATCATGATGCTACAGAATTAGCAGTGGGTATCTTAGTGTCTCTTTTTCTTCAGAGTATCTGTTCATTACATCCTGCATTATATTATCTATTCTCGTAAACTGTTTAGAAATTCTACACATGCGTGAATCTCTACATGTATACATATGCTTTCTGTATTATAAGGAAAAACAGATCAAAACAAGACAACAAAACAAATTCCTAGAAAAACATGAAACGAAAAAGACATATAAAACCACAATCTTAGGTGATCTGCAGTAGTTCCTATGCTGTCTCTTGTTATTTTTAATAGAATTGCTTGACCAGAGTCTTACACTTCTCCTGTCCATACAAGTTATTGTCAGGGGTGAAGGAGTCTCGGTGCCTCAACATTTAGGTTCCTGCCAGTTCAGGTGGGAATTGATAATCATTCAGCAAACAGCAATTTGAAATCTTCAGTTGCCTTTAAACAGAAATAATAGCTGGTCTTGGGAAGGGTGGCGGCCAAAGGGCAGGTGTGTGAGAGCCAGACAACCTAGTGCCCACTCCTGCTCCCCACAGCGGCTGGAGAGGCTGACCATATGAAGATTACATGAGTTAGCCCCCACACACACCACTTGGGACAGGCCTGGCACATAGTACGTGCTCAATAAATAGAAACTACAATAGAGTCGGGATTTAGCTCAGTGGTGTAAGCCTCTGCTTGGCAAGCACTATGTTGTGAGTTCGATCCCTGGTGCACCAAAAAAAAAAAAAAAAAAAAAAAGAAAGAAAGAAAAAAAGAAAGAAAAAAAGAAAGAAAAAAAGAAAGAAAAAAAGAAAGAATAAAAGGAAACTACAATGGAACAAAATGCAGCAAAGCACAACAAAGGGATTGGTTACTTTTGTGGTCCTGAGAGATAATCACTACTAAATGTTTATAGAGTGTGTTGTGTGGTTGAAATCACACTAGGCACTGATCTGTCTATCTGTCTATATAGATATAGATTGCAATTTCCCATTTATTGAGTTTTTCATACTGTGCTCATGCCTTGCACCTACGGCCCATCAACTTCATTTGATTCACACAATAGTCGTGTAAGGTAGCTGGTATTTCTGTCCTTTGTCATTTTGAGACATGCAGACAGATAGTAAAATGAAGTAACTTCCTTGAGGTCACACAGGTGAGGAGATTAGTGATGTCTCTAAGATTCAAAGCCAGGGCACTTTGATAACAAAGCTTACCTTCGTGTACCCGTAGGGCTAGAACCCAAGTAAGACCGGGGGCCCCTATGAAATGGAGAACTGTGATGTAAATTTGCTGCCCTTGTGACTGCAACTCAGATGCTTAATAAGTCTCAGGTTCTGCCTCCACGCAGCGACTGGGACATTCGCCTCCCTAGCGCTGTGCTGTGTATTATAGACAGATACAGGGACACTCAGATGGGTTCTTCTAAGAAGGCTTTGTTGAGCACCTGCACATTCAGGACTCATCACTTCTTATTACCCTCAGCTTGTGTGACACCACAATCCCAGGCTAGACGTGCACACTTTTCTTCCCAGATCAGACAGGATTGGGTGTGTTCAGAGGGGTATGGCCGTAGACAGCTTTCCTTTAATATCTGCTCCCTGTTAGGCACTGTTCCTGTATCACTATACTGTTTTGTGTTTTTTCTTGTTTCTCAAGTCAGGTGAAGCATATAAACAATGTCAAGGGAAATATCTTTTGCAGACCCTGACAGGACTCATCCCTGCAGAAATCAGCAGATAAAAGATGCATCAGTGTTGAATTTGACATTCCATGTTAATGTAACCATTGACACACCAGGTCTCCAAGCAAAATGATTGTCTCAAAGGAACAAAATGAGAACCCATGGCACGTAGTCAGTGTTGAACTACTGTGTGTTAGATCAGCTGCCCCTGAGCATGACAACAGGCATCTGCAGCCAAACTTCAAGAGCAACTGCAGTGTTAGCACGTGAAAGCCTCCCTGGGAAACTCAGAGCACCGAGCTTCTAGCTTCTGGCTGGTGCTTTGCATGTTGTGCAGTGAAAATGCTTCTTGCACTCAGGCTTCTCTGTCCCTCGTGCAGGAGGTGCAGAGCTGGGCTCGCAAGTTCCAATGTCCAGTTCTGAAGTTCCAACTTCCAGTGTTTCCCCAGCCGCGTGATCTTTATAAGTCCCAGCCTCTCTGAGCTTTACTTTGTTCATTGCAAACTGGAGTTTTGGCTAATAATAAGTATTTTTTAATTGTGATAGAATATGCATAACCCAGAATTTATCTTTTATCTCTCTGTGTGTATGTGTGTGTGGTGCTGGGAATTAAACCCAAAACCATTATACATTCTAGGAAACTACTCTACCACTGAGGTGCACACTCAGTCCAGATTCGTCACTCAGACATTTCTAAGGGCACAAGTTCAGTATAGCTAAATGTAATGTACCGGTTTACCACCATTTGCCTAGAGAACCATCGTGAGAGTTAAATGAGAAAAAGTTTTGTGGAAATGTTTTTTCTTACCTAGCAGAGGTTTCCATCTCATATGTGTTATGATTTGTGTTTCCCCAAAATCTGATTGCAGTTTTAGATGGGCTTTTTTGGAGGTAGCTGAATCTAGAGCACGTGATTGCAATTCAAGGTGTGAGTGTTATACTTGTCCTAGGGTCGGGGTAGCCTGCATACAATATGACAATATAAGGGACAGAAAGAGGCTTATTCTCTCTCTCCCCCTCTCCCCTCCACCTCTCTCTCTCTCTCTCTCTCTCTCTCTCTCTCTCATTGCTTTTGCTGTCTTCTGTTGTCCCTCTGCCATGTACCACCCAGCCTTGGAGCCAGTAGATTATGAACTGAAACCTCTACAAACTGTGACCAAAGAAACCCTTTCCTCCTAAAACTTAAGGTGTCAGGTAACTGAGTCATGAGGCAAGCCTCACGCAAAAAGGCTGTGTTTACGCTAGCAGAACATAAGCACCCCATTTCATCACATTTGTCATCACCCCATGGGGGAAGCCACAGGTAAAGCCTGCCTGGCTCAAGGATGATCCTGATACACCTTTTATCGTTATCTCTCTCTGTCATTTATCTCTGGGTCACCTGTCTATAGATCATCTATATCTACCTATAATCATATCCATATCTGTTTATTCATTTATTAAAAAATTTATCAGGAGCTGGGGATATAGCTCAGCAGCATAGTGCCTGCCTGGCAAGTGCAAGGTTGTGAATTTGATTCTTGGTACCAATATATATATATACCTTTTAATTGCCAAGGGATAGTTGAGGTGCTAGGAATACAGCAGCGAAAACAAAACAAATTTCCTGCTCTTGTGGATTTTATTTTTCTATGGAAAAGACAGAGAACAAGTAGGAAGATATAAACTATTAAATAGGAAGAGATAATATAAAGAAAAACAGTTCAGGGTAAAGAGATGGAGAGTGACAGTGGCTGCTTTTTCAATGGAGAGGTCAGGAGGGCTCTCCAATTTCAGGGGATACCTGAATGGCAGCTGGAAATTAAAGAAAAGATGCAAACTAAATATAACAGT